AAGGCAAGGAGCACGAGGGGCAAGGCAAAGGAGCACAAGGGGGCAAAGAAGCAAGAGGAGCAGAAAGGGGAGAAAGGCGAAGGAAGGGAGGCCAAGGCACCCACAGGCCACAAGAAGCCAAAAGGGCCGGAAAGACAGGGGAGCAGAACGGAAAAAGAGGGAGGAAGACAGGAAGAGAAAAACGGAGCCGAGAAAGAAAGGCGAGCAGAGGAAGGGAGGGCAAAGAGACGGGGGAGAGGCAAAGGACAAGAAAAGAAGAGGGGAGAAACAACGAGAAAAGCAAGGGGAGAGAAAAGAGGAGGGGGCAGGCAAGGGGACAAGCAAAGCAAAAGGGAAGAGCGACGAGGGCAACAAGAGCAGGCGAGGAAGAGGCAAAAGGCAAAGAGCAAAGGAGCCCACGCCAACGGAGAGAGGGGAGGGCCGAGAAAAAGCCAGGAAGACGGGAAGACAAAGAGAGGGAGAAGACAAGAGAACACGAGAGAAGGCAAGACAAGGGCAAAAGGCAAAAGGGCAAGGGCGCAAAGAGGCGGAGAGACGGAGGCGGAAGAGGCGCAAAAGCGAGGGGGAGAGAGAGACAAGGACCGGGGAGGGGAAGGGGAGAAAGAGGAGAGCGGGGGGCAAAAGACGCGAGGGAGGGGAGCGGGGGGCAAAACACGCGGAGGGGCGAAGGGGAGCGGGGGGCAAGACACGGAGGGGGCGGGGAGGAGAGCGGGGGGCGAAAGACGCGGAGGGGAGGGGAGCGGGGGGCGAGACACGCGGAGGGGGGGGAGCGGGGGGCAAGACAGCCGGAAGAAGGGCGGGGGAGCGCGGAGGCACGAGGGGAACGGGGGGGGGAAAAGAGGGAAGGCGCCGAGACGGGAAAGGAGAAAAGGGGACGAGGAAGAGGACGCCACGGCCGAACCACGAGAAAGGGCCGCGCGCAGGGACAGACCGCACGGACAGAAGGGGCGCGAGCGAGCGAGCGGAGCCGACGAACCCGGGGACGAGGCACAGGGAAGCGGAAGCGGCGGGGGAGGGGGGGGCACGGAGGCAGGGGACGCAAACGGCGCGAGCGGAAAGAGGGAAGGAGGCGAAGCAAGGGGGACGGGGGGCAGGGAACAGGCGGCACACGGGCGACGGGAGACGAGAGGGAGGGACAAGCGGGAAGAGGGGAGGAGAGAGGGAGGGAACCAGCGCCGGGAGAGAGGCAAGAGAGCGCGGGCACGGGACAGAGCAGCGGGACCGAGCGGACGGAGACGGCAAGGAAGGACGAGGGGGCAGAACGCGGACAGACGAGGAGGCCGCGGGGCAGGGCAAACGGACGCGAGGGACGGGGACGGAGAGGGGAAGGGACCAAAGAGGGAGGGAAGGGGAAAAAGCGGGAAAGGCGAGGCACCCCCCCCCCCCGCGAGACGGGCACCACCCGAGCGGGACCAACAAGGGGGAGCAGAGCGGGGGCGAGGGGAGGCAAGGGGGACGGCGAGACAGAGCGCGAAAAAGCAAGAGGAGGAAAAGAGAGAGGGCGCGGGCCCAAAAGGGAGGAGGGGCCGGAGAAAAAGGGGAGGAGGGGAAAAGGCGCAGGCAGGGACAGGGAGCCGCAGGACAGGAGGAAAGGGGGGAAGGGGGACGAGGGGGCCGAGGGAGAGGGGCAAGGCAACACGGCAGCCGGACAAACAAGGGACACGCCACAAGACAGGCCAAAACCGAAAGGGGAAGGGGCGCGGGAAGAGAGAACAAGAAAGAACGGGGACAAGAGGGCCAAGGAGAGGGGGGGAAAGCGAGCGAGGACACGAGAGGGCCAAAAGGGCGAAAGGGGCAAGCCGCGAAGGAAGGGGGGAAACGCGCAGGCAAAGGGGGGAAGGAGACGAACAAGAAAAGGAGAAGAAGCGCACGAGAGCAGGAAAGAAAGGCGAGGAGGGCAAAAGGCGAAACGGCGAGAAGAGGACCGACAGGGAAACAAGAGGGGCCAAAAGCGGAGGAGAGAGGAAGGAGCGGGGAAAAGAGAGGAAGCAAAAAGAAAGCGCACGCAAAAGGCGACGGGGGCGACCAGCGACAGGGGACAGGAAGGGCACGGCCAGGAGAGAGCAGAGGGAGCGAAAAACCCGAGCAACCGAGAAGCGCGGGAGGGAGCGAAAAGCGGAGGAAGGGGAGAGGAAAGCAAGAGGAGAGGAAGAGCAGGAAGAAAAGAACAACGCGCGGAGAGCCGAGCAACCAGCAACCGCAAGGGCAGGACAAAAGGGGGAAGGAGGGCCGAAGGAGCAAGGGGCGCGCGGGGGCAAGAAAGGCAGGAAAGGCAGGAAGAGAAGCAACGACAAGAAAAAGCCACAAGGGAAAGCAGGGAAGACAACGAAAGAAGGCGAAGAAAGAAAGGAGGGAGGAAGAGGCAAAGGGGGGACAACGGGAGAAAGCCGGGACACGGGGCAGCAAGGGGGCCACAGCCCAAGGGAAGGAAAAGGCAAGACACAAAGGGGACGAACCGCGCAACAGGAAGAAGGCAAGCCCAAAGAGAAAAGAGGACAAAGGAAGAGAAGAAAAGCACGCAGCAGGGACCCACGGGAAAGAAGGGAGGCAGAAGAAGCGGCAAGGGAGGAAAGGGACACCGCAAAGGAGGACAAGGCAAGGGGGGCAGGAGCAGCGCCAACAACGACACCACGACGAGGACAGGGGGCGGAGGGCAAAGGGACAGGAAGAAAAGGAGGGAACAGCGAAAGCGGAGGACGCGGGAAGGCGGCAGGGCGAGAGAGGCCGGCGGGCACGGAAGGGAAGAAGGGCAAACCGGAAGGGACACGCACGCGCAACGCAAAGAGCGCAAGAAGCAGCGGAGGCGGGAAAAAGAGCAAGGAAAGGAAAAAGGGCAAAAGGCGCGACGGGAAGGGAAAGACGGGAAAGAGAAAAGGAGGGGCGGCAAGAAGAGGGGAAAGCAAGGGAAGGGAGAGAACACAACCGCAGAGAGGGGAGAGCAACAGGGACACAGGCAGCCAAAAGAAGGGACAAAAGGGGAAAGAGGCAAAAACCCGCAAGGGAGAAAACCGGACGGGGGAGGAGCCAGCGGGGGCGCAAGCCGCCGAAGAAAGGGACCAAGGCGACGACGACGGGAAGAAGAAAGGCCAAGGAGGAAAAGGGGGAAAAGGGCAAGAAAGCACAGGGAGACAAGGAAGGGGGACCAAACGAAGGGCAAAAGGAAGACGGGGAGGACCGAAGCCGCAAAGAAACAAGAGGGCGCCGAAACAGGAGACGAAAAGGACAAAAGGGGGGGCCGAAAGGGAAAGACACCAAGGAGGCGAGGGCACAAAGCCCGCAGAGGAAAAGGGGAAGAAAGCCGAGAAGGGGGCAGGGAGAGGGAGCCCGCGAAACAAGAGGGGGGGGAAGAGGAAACCAGGGACGAAGGCCAGAGGGAAGGCGAGCACGAGGCCGCAAACAAGCGAGAGCCCACGGGCCAAGAAAGCGAGGCAAGGGGCAAAAACCGGCACAAAAAAGGGGGGCAAAAAGGAAAGAGGAGGAGAAGGGGGGAAGGGGGACCAAGCACCGAAACGGAGAGCAGGGAGGACAAGGGGGAGGGGGGGACCAAAAAGGACGAACACCCAAGGACCCAAGGCAAGGGGGGACCGAAAAAGGGGGAAGGAGGGGCAGGAAGGGGGGACGGCGAGAGGGGAGGGGCGAGACACAGGACGGGAAAGAAAGCGAAGGCGGGGGAAGCGGAAAAAGAGCGAAGGACCAAAAGGCGGAGGCGGGGGAAAGGAACGAGACGGCAGAACAAAAGGAAGCGGGACAAGAGGGCGAAAGGGGGGAAAAGCGAAGAGGGAGCCGGGGGGAAGGGCGAAAAGGCAACGGGGGAAGGACAAGGCAAGGGGGGGACAAAGGAGAGCGAGGAGAGGGCGGCAAAGAGAAGGGCCAAGGGAAGAAGAAGGCCACAGGAGAAGGGGGGCGCGAAGGAAGAAGGAAAGAAAAAGAGGGACGGGGGGGAGGGGAACACAACAAAAGAAGCAGGGGGCGACGAGCAAACAACGCACACGCAACAAGGGGGGAAGGGCACAAGAAGGGGAAGCAGCGAAACGGCAAGACGAGCAACAAGCGAGCAAGAAACAAAGCGGGGAAGGGCGACCCGACAGGGGCGACAAGAAAGAGCAAAGAGGGGAGGCGGGCCAAAGAGGAAAGCAAGGCAAGGCAGCGGGCAAAGCCAAAGCGCAAGAAGCGACAACAAGACCGCGAAGGCGACGACACAGGGAGCGAGGCGGGCCAGGAGACCCAGCAAGGCGAAGGGGGAAGAAAGAGACACGAGGGGGGGGGAGGACGGGGCCAGGGACACAGGGACAAGAGGGCGCAAAAAGAAAAAGGAAGGGGAGCAAAAGGGGCCAGAGCGACGGAAGCGACGACAAAACGGAGAAAGACGGGAAAAGGGCAAAAAGCCGAACGGAGCGGGGAACGGAGGGCGGGAAGCAAGGGAGGAAGCCGACGGCAAGGCCCAAGGAAGGCGACAGCAAGGAGCGGCCGCACGGACACCGCAACAAAACGGGGGAGCCGAAAGAAGAAAGAGAACGCGAAAAGAAGCCGCACGAGGGAGGAGGACGGCAGCCGAGCGACCGAAAAGAGAGGGGGCGGAAGCAAGCAACACCGCGGGCGACACACAAAAGCGGAGCGGGAGACACAAGGCGGACAAGAAGACGCCGGACGAAGGAGGGAAAGGGAGAAAACCGAAACGCAACGAGGGCCAGACGGGGGGCAGCAAAGGGGGAGGCGGAAGAAGGGGAAAACAGAGCGAAAGACGGGGAGGAGCGGGCAGAGGAAGGAAGAGGGGGGGAGAGGCAGCGACCAGCAAAGCAGGCAGAGGAGGGAACAAGAAAGCAAGGGGGGGAGAAGAAGCAAGGCAGGGCACAGGGGAGGAAGCGCAGAAGAAGGAAACCCAAAGCAACAAAAAGGAGCAGGAAGAGGGGCAAGGGGAAAAAGCAGGGAAGGAGACGGACAGAGCGGGAAAGAGCAAAGGGGACAGGGGAGGGAGCAAGGGGACAGGGAGGGCAAGAGGGAAGGACACGGGGAAGCCAAGGAAGAGGCACACGGGGAAAAGCAAAACGCGCAAGGCAAGACACAAAGGGGAGAGCAAGCGGAGGAGCAAAAGGGGGCGACCGCCAACGGACCGACGGAACAAGGAAACGGGGAAAGCCCAGGCAAGCCGACAACCGGACGGGAGAGGGCGCAAAAAGCACCCGCCAGAGCGAGGGAGGGGAGAGCCACGAGAAGGAGGAAAAACAAGGGCCGCAAAGGAGAAAGCGGGAGGCGCGGGGGGCGGGCGCAGGGGGAGCCCACAAGCAGGGAAGAAGCGCGAAGGGAGCCAGAGGGGAGCAAGGCAAGGCAAGAAGAGCGGGAGCAAGGGAAAGAGAAAGGACGGAGGGGAAGGAGGGCCAAGACCGGAAAAGGACAAGGGAAGGGGAACAAAAGGGGGCGGCGGAAGAAAGCGAAGGAGGAGGGAAGCGGCAGGCGAAAGAAAGCACGGGAGGGGCAAAAGGAGAGGCACAAGAAGAAGGCAGAGAGGGCGAGGAAACAGGGGCACCCGGGGCAAGACGAGAAGCCAGCAGAAGAGGGCGAGCGGAGGCCGCAGACAAGAAGGGCACGGGCGAGCAAAGGGACGGGAAAAGGGCAGGGGAAACGGAGGACGGGAAGAGGAAGGCGACGGGAGCAACCGCCCGGGGGCGAGGGAAAAGGGGAGAGGAAGAAGGGCGACAGAGGAAAGAAGGCGGGAGAGGGGGAAAACAAGCACCGAGAGCGGGGGAGGACACCCGAGCAACGGGCCGAAGGAACGGGGGGGCACAAAAGGCCGGGGGGAGAAAACCGGAGGGAGAAGGCAAGAAAAGGAGCACAGGGGAGGGGGACAAAGGGAGGGGGAGGAGAGGAGCGGGGGAAGGACGAAGAAAAGCGGGGGGAGAAAGGGGCGAAGCGCAGGCAGAAGAAGGGGGAGAGGAGCAGGAGGGGAGAGGGAACGACGGGCGGGGACGACAAGGAAAGCAACGCAAGCGAAGGAAGAGGCAGCAAGCAGGCCAAAGACACAAAAGAGCGGAGAAAGAAAGGGGGCAAGAGGGAAAAGCCGCAAGCAAGAGCCCGAGGAGCACAGCGGGACGAGGAGAGAAAGAGGAGGAAGGCAAGGACGGGGACGAAACAAAAGAGCGAGGAAGGAGGGGAGCAGGACGAGACCGCACGGCAAGGCGACCAGAGAGAGCGGAGCAGGGGGAGGAGGGGCGAGGGGCCAGGCAAAGCCAAAAGAGAGGCAGGGCGGGCGACCAAGAAAAGCAGCCGAGACCGAAAAGGAACAGGCAAGGGGGAGGAGGGGAGCCCAAAGAAGGGAAGGGGACACGAACGGGGGCGCAGAGGCAGAGGGGGCAGGAGGGAAAAGCGAGCGCAAAAGGACCGCAGGAACAGGGCCAGGGCGGAGGGGGAAGAGGGGGGCAGGGGGCAGCAAAAAGCAAAACGCCAGAGCGACAAGGACAGCCGAAGCGGAAGAGAGAGCGGCGGGAAGGGGGGGGCGCAAAGGCGGGGGAGGAAACAACAGCGGAAAGAGGAGGGCGGGAAGGGGGAAAAGGGCAAGAGAGGGGGGACAAGACAAGGGCGAGGCCAGAACACACAAGCCCGGGGGACAGGCAAGAACAAAACACAGGGAGGGGAGACAGCAGGGGAGCCGGGAGCAGGGGAAAAGAAGGAAGGAGCAAGCGAAGAGAGCCCGACCGAGAAGCAAGGAGCGGAGAGGCGCACAAAGCCGCGGGGGGAAGCAAGAGGGGCGAAAGGAGACACGAAAGGGGCAGGAGGGAAGGGAGCGAAGGGGCGAAACGCGAGGGAAGGAGAAGCGCAAGGGGCAGCGGAAAGGGCGACACGGGAGCGGAGGGAAAGGGGCGGGCCGAGGGGGCACACAGGCAAAAAGGGCACAGCGGGGAAGGCACCGAGAGCGAGGAAAGGGGGAAAGCACAGAGGCGGAGAGGCGGGCGAACCGGAGAGCGAGAGACAGAGAGGACAAGGAGAAAGCAGGAGAGAGGCCAAAGCGGACCAGGGAAGAGGGAGAAGAGGGGGGGAGGAGAGAAGGGCGGAAAGGAGAACACCGGGGAGGGGAGGGGGCACGAAGAAAGAGGCGAGAAAGAAGAGAGGGCGCGGGCGGCCAGCGACAGAAAAACGGGGAGAGACAGACAGAGGAGGGGCGAACAGAGGGAGGGCGCGAGGAAGGGGAGGGCAGGGAAAAGCAGGCCGAGGAGCGAAAGGGGGGGCGCCACAGCAGCAGACAAAGGGGAGGGAGAAGAGAGAACCGAAACGAACGAGCAGGGAGGGCAAAGGGGGAAGCGAGGGGAAGAGCAAAAAGACCCCGCACGGAGGAAAAGGCAACAGGGAAGGGGGAGGAGAGGGGGGGAAAGACACCGCCGGCGACCCAAGCGGGGGGAAGAAGCCACCAGGACACGCAAAACGCGCAAAAGCGGGCAGCGGCCAGAGCCGAAAGACAAACCGCGGCGGCCAAAAGGCGCAAGCCCGCAAAGCGCCGAAAAAGAGCAAGCACAGGAGGGCCACCAGGGGAGAGACAAGCGCGCAACCGAAGGAAGAACACACCACACAACGCAACCGGCAAAGCGAGCAGGGGGAAGCAAGGCCGGAGGAAGGGGGGACCCGCAAGGAGGCCGCAAAGAAGCCGAGAACGCGCAGCGGGCACAAAGAAGCAGCCAAGGCACGGCAACAAAGCAAGCGAAGGAGGGGAGGGGCGGACGCAGACGCAGGGAGGGGAGGAGGAAGAGGGAGCAGAGGGGAGAGGAAGGCCAAGGGGGGGGAGGGACCAGGGAGGCCACCGGGAAGGGAACGCGCAGCACCAGGGAGGAACACGAGGGACACACAACCGGGGGACGGCCGAGAGCGAGGCCAGAACAACCACGGGGGGACGGAGAGGGGCACACAGAGGAGCAGACGGAAAGGGGGACAGAAAGGCGGAAGGAGAAGGCGGCGCGCGAACCAAAGCGGGCCGGGCAAAAAGCGGAGGGGAAGGGGAGGAGGAAAGGCGAGGGAAAAGGCGCGACAAAGGGGGGGGGCAAAGGAAGAGGAGGGAGGAGAGAGCACCCGGAAGAAGGGGAGAGGGCAGGCGAGCAGGAAGGGGGGAGGGGGACGGGAGGAAGCGGAGCGGGAGCCGAAGGGCACACGGGGGGAAAGGGGCAAAAAGAAGGAAGGGGAAGGGCAACCGAGAGCGAGGGGGCGGGGGCGCAGGGGGAGAGGAGCAAAAGGAAAAGGGGGACCAAGGAGGGCAAAGAAGCCGGGGGGAGGAAGAGAAGCGGGGGAAAGAGCAGGAAGGGCAACGGAGGGAAAGGCCAAAAGAAAGAGGAAGCCGAGAGGGAGGCCAGGCGAGAAAAAGGACCAGGGGCAGAAAGGCGGGGGCGACCCGCGCAAGCCCAGGAAAACCCGACAGCAAGCCAAAAGCCAAACACAAGCCAGAACCCGACCGCAAGCCGAAAGCCCGACCACAAGCCAAAAGCCGACCACAAGGCGGAACCCAAAGGCAAGCCAAAGGGCGGAAAGCCGGGGGCCCAAAGGGCCGAAGGGGAAACAAGGGGGAAGGAGGAGAGGCAGCAAGGGGAGGGACGGGACGGGGGAGGAGGGAAGGAAGACCGAAGAGGCCGAAAGGGGAGAAAAGGGAGACGGGGGCCGGAGCAAGAGGGGAGGACAGAAGGGACCAAGGAGGCAGGAAGAAGAAGGAGGGGCAGGAAAGGGGAGGGGCAAGGGGGAGGGGGGCCAGGCAACCGGGGGGCGACGGGGAAGGGAGCAGGGGGGAAGAAAGGAAAGCCAAAGGGGCCGAAGCGACGGGGGACGGCACAGGGCCAAGGAGAGAGGCCGACGGAAGAAGAGGGCGAGGGGAGAGGGCGAAGGGGGACAAGGAAGGGGGAAGAAAAGGGCACGGAGGGGGGACAGGGAGGGAGAGGGGCGGAGAGGAGGGGAGGGGGGGAAGCGCACGGAAAGAAGGCAAGACCAAAAGGCCAGGCAAGCGAGGCAACAGACGGAGGAAAGGCAAGCAGGCAAGGCAGAAAGGGCACAGGGGACACGCACGGGGACACACGCCGGAAAGGGAAGGAAAGCAGAGGGGAAAAGCAAGCGCAAGCGCACAGGCGGGAAGCAAGGGGGCGCAAGAAGGAGCAAGGGGGGGCCCGCAAGCCCGAGAAGAGCAAGAACGGGAGGGCACAACCGACAAAGGAGAAAGGGAAAAAGCGGGAGAAAGGGGGACGAAGCCGGGGGACCGAAGGGAGAAGCAGGGGGCAAGGGAGCGACACGCAGGGGGAGCAAGGGGGCAAGACGCAAGGGGGAAAAGGCGAAAGCAGCGGGGAGGAAAAGCGGAGAAGGCAACAACAGGGGAGGAGACCCACCAAGCACGGGAGAGACAAGGGGGAGGGGGAAGACAAAGGGCAAAGGGCAACGCAAGGAGGGCGACAGCCAACGGGCGCAAAGCCGCAAGAAGGCGGGAAAGGCAAAGGAAGCAAGGGCCGGGAAGCCAAAGCCAAGGGAGGCGCAAGGGGGGCAGCAACAGGAAAAGCAGAGGAGGGAGGGCCACACGGAGCGCAGCGCAGGGCAACACCAAAGGGGGCGGCCGGCGGGGGCAGAGGAGAAGAGGCCGAAGCCAGGGCAGCGCGGCGGGAAGCGGGGCAGACACGCGGGAGGACGCCAAAAAGGGGGAAGAGAGAGGCAGGCAGGGGGAAGGCAGGAGGGAGAGGAGGAGGACGGCCAGGGCGAGCCAGAAAGGGGGGCACAAGCAGGAGGAGAGGGGGAGGAGGCAGAGCGGCGGGAAGAAAGGCACCAAGAAGAGGAGGAGGGAAGAGGGGGGCGGGGGGGGGGAAGCGGGCAGGCCAGGAGGAGCAAGCAGGGCAAAGACCACGAACCGGGCGGGGCGGGAGAGGGGGGGGGCAGGAGGAAACAGGGAGCAAAGAAAGGGGGACAACCGGGCAGCGCGGAGGGGGAAGCCACACCGAAGAGAGGGGAGAGGGGAAAGGCCAAAGGGGGGACGGGGAAGGAGCGACCAAAAGGAAGGAAGAAAAGGGGGCCGAAGGGAGCAAAACAGGGGGGGGGCAAGGGAAAAGGCAGAAGAAGGCAAAGCGAGGCGAGAGCCGGGAGGAGCAGGGGGCGAAAGGGACGACAGCAAAGGCAAGGAGGCCGAGCGACAAGAGGGAAAAAGGCGAGAAGAGGGCAGCAGAGGGGAGGAAGAAGGGAGACGGCCCGGGAACAACAGCACGGAAGCAGGCAACGACGAGGCAGGGGGGCAGGGAGGCAACAACGGAGGCCAGGAGGGACAAGGGCGGGAGGGGCAGAACCAGAGAACAAGGGGCGAAGGAAAGGAGAAACAAAGGAGGAGAGGAGGGGGAGGAGGGGCACAAGGGGGGGGGGCCACGGGACAGGAACCCAGGAAACAAGGGGAAAGGAGGCGAAGGAGCGGGGGAGGAGGCGAGGAAGGGGGCGGAAGGGGAGGAGGGGGCGGGAAAGGGAACAGGGGAGCGGAGAGGGGAGCAAAGCGCAGAAAGGGGAAAAAGGCAAAAAGGCAGGAGCAGGAAAAGGCCAAAAAGGCGAAAGAGGAAGAGAGGGGCGAAAAAGACCGGGCCGAGAGGCAAAAGCAGGGGGAAACGCAGCGGGGCGAGGGCAAGGAAAGAAAAGCGGGGGAAAAAGAAGGGGGGAAAAGACAAGCCAAAGGACGGAGGAGAGGGGGGGCGGCAGCAAAAAGGGGGAAAAGGGAGAGGAAGAGGGGGGGAAGGGGGAGGAGCCAAAGGGAGCGGGAGAGCCCCGGAGGGGGGAATGGCGGGGGACTAAGAGCAGAAATCATTAAAGAGGGAAAGCAGAAGAAGCGACCAGAGAAGAACAAAATGAAGGGAGATAATGAAGGGGGCCGCGAGTACGGCAGCAGGGAAAGAACGCAGAAAAAAAGCAAGGGCGGGGCCAAAGAAGAACGGGAGGGCGGAACGGCGAAAGGGAGAGGGCCGGACGCGAACGAGCACACCCGAATAGCGAGGCCCCCCCAAAGACGGAGAGGGAGGCAGAGGGTGGTGAGAAGGAGCGCGAGTGGGGGCTGCAAAGAGCATAAGGGGGCGGAAGGAGCACGATTGGGGGCAAAGGAGCACAAGGCTGGGCGAAGGATGCCAGAGGCGGAGCAAAGAGCACCAGGGGGCCGAAGGAGCCACGAGGCGCACCAAAGGAGCACAAGGGGACCAATGGCGGCGATTAGAAGCACAAGGGCGGCCGAAAGGAGCACAAGGCTGAAGAATGCACAATAGTGGCCAAAAACCGAAAAGAAGGGCCCCCCGAAAAAAAAAAAAACCCAAAAAGGGGGGGCCCGGACAAAAAGAGAAGTAGCGAAAGAGAAGGCAAAGGCGCAAAGGCAAGTTAGACGATGGGGACAAGGGGCAAAGGAGCACAAGGGGGCAAAGAGAGCAAGAGGAGCAGAAAGGGAGAAGGCGAAGGAGGGAGCGCAAGGCCACCCACAGGCCACAAGAGCCAAAAGGGCCGGAAAGACAGGGAGCAGACGGAAAAAGAGGGAGGAAGAGCAGGAAGAGAAAAACGGAGCGCGAGAAAAGGCGAGCAGAGGAAGGGAGGGCAAAGAGGCGGGGAGAGGCAAAGGACAAGAAAGTAAGAGGGGAGAAATGCAAGCGAGAAAGAGGGGAGAAAGGACGGGGGCAGGCAAGGGACAAAGCAAAGCATAGGGAAGATCGACGAGGGCAACAAGAGCAGGCGAGGAAGAGGCAAAGAGTGCAAAGAGCAAGGAGCCCACGCCAACGGGATAGAGGGGAGGGAGGAGAAAAAGCCAGGAAGACGGGAAGACAATAGCGAGGGGAGCAAGTACACAGAAGAAAACAAGAGAAGACAAGGAAAAGGCAAAAGGGCGAGGGCGCAACAGGGAAAGAGACAGGCGAAGAAGGCGCAAAGCGAGGGGGAGATGAGAAAGACAAAGCGGGGATGGGGAAAGGGGGAAGAGGAGAGCGGGGGCAAAAGAGCGAGGAGGGGAGCGGGGGGCAAAACACGGGAGGGGCGAAGGGTGAGCGGGGGGCAAAACACGGAGGGGGGCGGGGAGTGAGAGCGGAGGGCGAAAGACGTCGGAGGGAGGGGAGCGGGGGGCGAGACACGCGGAGGGGGGGGAGCGGGGGGCAAGACAGCCGGAAGAAGGGCCGGGGGACCACGGGGCACGAGGGGAACGGGGGGTGGGAAAAAAGGGAAGGTGCGCCGAGACGGGAAATGAGAAAAGGGGACGAGGAAGAGGACGCCACGGCCGAACCACGAGAAAGGGCCGCGCGCAGGGACAGACCGCACGGACAGAGGGGCGAGATGCGATGCGAGCGCAGGCCGACGAACCGCGGGGACGGGCACACGGAAGCGGAGCAGCCGGGGGAGGGGGGCGCGCACGGAGGCAGGGACGCAAACGGCGCAGCGGAAAGAGGGAGGAGGCGAAGCAAGGGGGACGGGGCAGGGAACAGGCGGCAACGGGCGACGGGAGACGAGAGGGAGGACAAGCGGGAAGAGGGTGAGGGAGAGAGGGAGGACCAGCGGCTGGAGAGCAGAAGAGCGGGCACGGACAGAGCAGGGGACCCGCCCGAGACGGACGGAGACGCACACGGAAGGACGAGGGGGGCAAACGCGGGACGAGGAGGGCCGCGGGGCAGGAAACGGGCGCGGACGGGGGACGGAGAGGGAAGGGACAAAGAGGGAGGGAAGGGGAAAAAGCGGGAAAGGCGAGGCACCCCCCCCGCGAGACGGGCACACACCGAGCGGACCAACACTCGGCCCGGCGGACAATCAGGGGCCAGCGGAGGCAGTACGGAGGACCGCAACGGGACTGGGGCGGCGAAGGCCAGAAGCGGAAGCGGAACGGGGCGCCCAGGGGCCGCGGCGGGGCGGGGGTCCGGGAGCGCCGAGAGGAGGGAGGCAAGGAGCGAGCCAAGCACCGCGGGCGCGGGGAGCGGCGGCGGGAGGCCAGCGAAGGAGGGGGCGAGGGCGGGCGCCACCGGCCCGTGGGCCGAAGGGGAGGCGAGCGACACCCGAGGAGGGCGGACGCCGGACGCGGTGACAAAAGGCGACAAACTGCGCGGGGGCTGAACGGTGCGACCAGGGGCGCGGGTAGGAAGGGCGCGGAAGGCCGAAGAGGGAGAGCAGGGGGCAACAGGATACCGGCAACACATAGACGTCGGGGAGGCTAGCGAAAATGCGCGAGGGCGAGCCACGGAGGGAAACCCGATGCGAGGGACCAGGGGGAGCGGGCCGAAGGGGCGACGCCCGAGGGGGCAAAGCAAGGGAAGGGGCAGGGAGGAGAGAAGGGAGCGCGGGCAGACCGCGCGCGGGCAAAAGGGGGGAGACCGACAATCGCAAGACCGGACGAACGGAGCGGCGGACACCTAGGCGACGCCAGGAAGGGCCCGGCGGAGGACGGACTAAAGCGGAGGAGGGCCGGGAGAGGGAATGGAGGGGGGAGAAGGCTAAGCGGCCCCGGGCATCAAGCGGGGAAGGGGGCGCGGAGAGGAGCTGGGAGTGACGGGGGAGGGGGATACGGGGCGCGAGGAGAAAGGAAAGGAAACAAAGGAGGAGAAAAGAGGAGGAAGAGGAGCAAAGAGAGGCAAAGAGGGGAGAGGAGCGGGAGCAAAGGGCAAGGGCAAACAAGCCAACGGAGGGGGAGGGAGACGGGGGGACGGAGCAGCGAACGGACAAGAGGGCCGGGGCACCAGAGCACACAGGCAAAGAGGGAGGGAGAGAGGCAGAAGAAAGCAACCAAGGAAGGACATCGGAACAAGGAAGGAAAAACAAGAGAGTGGAGGCGGACGAGGGCGGGCGGGGACGGGGGCGGGGAAACGCGCGGGAAGCAGTAACAAAGGGGGCGGCAGGCGACCAAGGGGGGCAATGCCGGGGAGACGGGAGCAGGGCAAGGAGGCGGCAAAAGCAAAAGCAAACCCAGAAGGGTGGCACACGAGGCAGGACAGAAGAAAAGGACAAGCAAGCGCATAAGAAAAAGCGGGCCCAGGGAAAACAGAAAGCGAGAGCGGAGAACAGGTGGAGGAGTTAGCGCCGAGGAGGCGGGTGGGAACGGAGCGGGGACACAGAAAAAGGGGAGAAAGCAGAACACGCAGAGGAAACGAAACGAAAAGGGAAGGGGAAAGGAGGGGGGGAACGGCAAGAAGGGGCGGCAGGAGGAGGCGAGGGTGGGGCGAGGGAAGGCAGCCAAAGGAAGAAGGCCAGGGCCAATGTGTCGGTCACCCGAAGCCAGGGAAAGGGGGGGGAAGACCAGCGGGACGGACGGTGCATGCAACGGGACACGGGGAGGAGATGCGGGAGAAGAAAGCAGAGAGTGATGTAGCCGGAGAAGGGATTACACGCAACGACGTGAGCAGGGGGGAGCACAGGAAAGCGGAGGGGGGAGAAGAAATGGAGAAAAGGCGCGGGGAGGGAGAACGGAGACGGCGAAGAACGGAGAGGAGGAGGAGAAAGAAAAGGCCGAAAAGGGGCACGGGCAGGAAGGAAGGAAAAGAGGGGCGGCCCTAAGCGGGAAAGGGAGGAGGGGGGCACCTGGGCCGGGGCAGGCGGCAGGGGGGCGGCAAGGGCAAAGCTCCAACAACGCCAGAAGGCCGGACGGCAAACAGGGAGGGAAGGGCAACACGAAGGGACGGAGAGCGGGCGGGAAGAGGACGTGGGGAGGAGGAGCAAAGGGGGAAGGGGGACAAGAGTGAAGGGCAAACAGCAGCAGCGCGAGCGCAGCCATAAGGGGAGAAGAGGAGGGAGGAATGCATAGGAGGGGGAGGAGAGGAGGGGCGGGCGGCGGGGCTAGGCACAAGGAGGTTGGCTCACAACTGGATGGGGGGCGGGGCGGGGGAGAAGGAAGGGCCAGGAGAAGAGGCGAAAATGGCAGGGCAAAAAGGGGGCCAGGAAGCAACCAGAGGAGGCACGAGCGGGGACACAAGAACAAAGGAAAAGACAGAAACGCGGGAAGCAAGCAGACGAGGGGGCCGGATGGGAAGGGTCAGGACAGGGGGGGAGGGACGACAACCGCAGACGCACGACGGACAGAGGGGGCGCGGGGGAAACGCGCAGCGGGGACGGGGAGCGGAGAACGGCCACAAAGGAAGAAAGCAACCGAAGGGGCCGGGGGACAGGAAAGGGGAGAAAGAGAAGAGGTGGAAAAGAGAGGAAGAGAGGGGTGGAAGAGGAAGAGGAGCGGAAGGGAAGGGCAGGGAAGAGCGGACCAGGGCAAACGAAAAAGGCAAGAAAAGCGCAGAGAAGAGGCAAACGGAAAACGGGGGACCGGGAAGCGTCACGGGCCAACCGACGGTGCCAGCGAACGCCGAAGACGCGGGGGCAGGAAAGCCAGGGCGAGGACGGGGAGCAGTGGGAGAAACGACGGGAGGAAGGGCGGGAGGGAGGCGACCAAGGGCGAAGAGAGAGGGCGGACCGGGCGACCGTCGAGACGGCCCACGCCCCAGGTCGGGCCGGGGTGGCACAAGAGCGGTAGGCTGAGAGAGTAGGCCGCGCGACCCGCGGGGACCGGGGCAGAAGGAGGGGCACGAAGGGGAGCGAAAGCGAGAGGCGAGCAGAACGAGGGCGGGGGGGGGCCGTCGGGGGGAAAGAACGAGCGACCACGGCGGCCGGCAGAGCACGGAAGAACGACAATGGGGAGACAGGGCGACAAACCCGGGGGGAGAAGGTGAAGAGACGGCCGGGACGACAGACGAGGGGGCGAGCTCCGACCCGGAGGCAAACGGGGCGCAGGGTAGGAGAACGCCAGATGCGACAGCGAGAGGGACGAAGAAGAAGAGCAAAGAGCAAGGAGGGAGGGGGGCGAGCAGGGGGAAGACGAGCGCGAGGCCGACCGGATCCACGCCACGAAGAGCCACGGGGAGACGCCGGGCAGCGGAACGGAGGGGGCGAAGCCAAGGACCAGGAGGGCCGGCAGGGAGCAGAGGGACCAGGGGGACGAAGGGCAGATGGGGTGGGCCCAGAGGTGGGAAAGGCGAGTAGGGGGGGGGTGGGTGGGGGAATGAGACGGGCTAAGCGGGGGCAAAGGAAAGAACGCGGGGCGGGAACGGCAACGCGATGGAACGAAGGAAAGAGGAGCAAGGGGGAGCGGGCACAGCGGAAGAAGAGGAAAGGGGCCCAAGAGGAAGGAAGGGGCAGGGGAAGGGAAGGAGGGGACAAAGGAGAGGGAAAGGGACAGAGAGAGCGGGAAGAGAGAAAGGAGAGGGGGCACGCAAGAGAGAAGAACAAGAGGCAAGAGGGGAAAGAAAGAGCGGAGCACGGCGCCGGGGGACGGGACAGGCAACACGGCAAACGGGCGGAGAAGAAAGCAGAGGGAAGCGCGAGAAGGGGGAGGCACAGGCAGACGGGAGAACACACGAAACCCGGAGGAGGAAGAGGAACGGGGAAGAGGAAACGGGGGAGGCGGAGGAGAGAGAGAGAGAGAGCAAAGAAGGAAGGGCGGGAGGGAAAGGAGAGAGGCAAGGGAGAGGGGGGCGGAAGGGGCGGAAGCGGCCGAGGCCACGGGGCGCCGGGCACGGCGAGGAGAAAGGCACGAGGGGCCACACACAGGGACAAGAGGGAACAAGGGCGACACAGGCACGGCGGCCGGAGGGCGGGCACACAGCGACACCCAACGCCGAGGGGCGCGCACACAGCGACACGCAACGCGAGGAGGGCGCACACAGCGAGACGCAACGCCAACGAAGGGGCGGGCACACAGCGACACGGAGCAACGACGAGGGGGGCACACAGCGACACGCACGAGAGGAGGGGCACACAGCGAGACGCGGGCGACAAGGACAAAGACAAGGAGGGGAGGGCGCGCGCCAACGAGAGGGGAGACGAGGCAGACGAAGGCGCGGGAAGAGGGGAGCACGAGCACGGGGGAAGGGGGCACGGGAGGCGAGCGGGGCGCGGGCGGCGCACGCCGCGGGGCGGCAAGGCGGCAGGGGGGGAGAGGCAAGCAAAGAGAGCCGGGGAGGGGGAGAAGGGGAGAGGGGAAGGGGAAGCGGCAGAGCCGGAGAGGGGGGACAGAGGAGAGCGGCAAGGGGGAGGGGAGGGGCAACGGGCCGGACAAAGGAAGAGGGGAGCACAACGGGGAGGGGCGAGGGGGGGCGAAAAAGAGGACGGGAAGGGGCAAGGGGAAGAGCCAACGAAGCGGGGAAAGAAAGGCAGCGGAGAGAAGGGAGGGCGAGGAGAAGGGGGAGAGGCAGGCCGGCAGAAAGAGGGGGCCGGGCGGAGCAAAGGGCGGGCAGGCAAGGGGGAGGCGGGGGGCAGGGGGGGACGGGAGGAAAGGCCGGCGAAGGGAGCCAAGGGCGGAGCAGCGGGCGCGCCACAGGGGGCGCCGGGGCGGGAACAGCGGGCGCCGGGACGGGGCAGGGGCGGCGGGGAGAGCGGACACAGGGGCGGCGGCGGAGGGGCAGGGGGGCGGCGCACGGGCAGCAGGGGGCGGGGAGCAGAAGGGGGCACAGGGGGCGGGGGGGAGCAGCGGGCGCGGCGGCACAGGGGCCGGGGGAACGGGAACA